CGTTGTCACGACAACTAATAATAACCACCTACCTCTCCTCCTCCCCCGTCCCACCACGTGTAGTCGTCTCTCTCTATAGGTTGGGTCGGACGTAGCGTCTCTCTCTCTCTCTCTCTCTCTCTCTCTCTCTCTCTCTCTCTATTGGGTTCAAAGTCTCGATGGCTATGGCCTAAGAACTTCAATGTAGTATTCCTACTTGGCAATTAGGTATTGCTGTTGTCCTACAGACTCCACCAGGCTTCATGACGATTTTTGCCCTTGTCAACTCTGATAGCGAAACTCAAGAAAATCTTGAACCTCATCATCGATCTTACTACTTTTGAGCAATGTTTTTTATTATTGTATAATATGAAATCTCCTTCAATTACTAGTCCACTGAAAAAGTATTGCTTCAAGTGCCTAAAATTTTGTCCGGAACCCATTTATGCTTATAATATTTTTTTGATTCACTTATTTTATGCGACTATAAAAAAACAACACACACAAAATTTAAACAATTTTACAATTTTCTCATAATTTTTTTGGGATTTTTTAGCCCCCTTTTTTTCAATATAAAACTTGGTACTAATCAGCTAACTTTACGGCTCATGCCATGACCTACTAGTCGAACTGACTAGTTCTTTCCAACACTGCATAAAATAAGTGAAATAAACAAAATATTATAGGCAAGTATAAATGGGTTCTAGATAAAATTTATAGGCTGCTGAAACAATATTTTTTCTGTGTAGTAATCAAAGGAGATTATATATTGCATAATAGTAAAAAACACTACTCAAAAGTAGTAAGATCGAAGATGGGGTTAAGGATTTTCTTGAATTTCATTATGAAGATTGACAGGAGGAAAAATCGTCATGAAGCCCAATGGAGTCTGTAGAGCAGCAATAGTACCTCCTTGCCAAGTAAGAATACTACCCTATGAAGTTTCGAGGCCATAGTCACCTAGACTTTAAACTCAGGAGAGAGAGAGAGAGGTTGGGGCTCTTTGCCCCAACACAAGAGAGAGAAAGACTCATTGTGCCGGGAGAGGGGGGAGAGAGAGAGAGAGAGAGAGAGAAGAGAGAGAGAGAGCGTGGCCTGCAGCTGGTACACAGTGCGTTGGGAGTCTTAGTACGGCCCCGTACGGTAACAAAATCTACGATCTACATGATGGAGTATTCTCTTACTATCTCTTCCAGCTAGTTGGGA